GGAGCCCCTGCTGGGGTCCGCAGGGGCCGCGGCGGATGAGGACGAGGAGGAGGAGAGCAGGTAGGGCTGTTTCCGCTGTGAGGCGGCGCCAGGACGTGGGGTGCCGCCGCCGCGGATGACCCGAGGAGTCGCCCGTGGGTCCCGGGTCCTTCCCCGCCCCGCACGGGGAGCCCGAGCCTGAGGGCGCTGCCCGGCCGGAGTCCGGCCCCAGCCGCCTTCCCCAGTGCTCCGGAGCTCGGAGCCCTTGTCTCGGAGCGTCCCGGGCCCGGCTGCGGGAGCGGGCCGGGGGCTGCTTCTCTCTGTGGGATAACACAAACTCACTCGCCTGGGAAAGTTCCTAAGAACCGCCGAACAAGATTAATGTGGGGCAGAAGTCTGGGTGTTAACAGCAGCCTTCGTGTGTGCCTCAAGCTGTTCGTCGCTTTTTTCCCCCTCTGACAGCAAAACAAGTGTTTTGAATTTAAAATTGGACATGCCTAAGTCTAGGTACTTACATAAACAGCGTTTATAAACAATGCTTAGGAACCTATATATCTGTAACTTGAGTCTACATCATCTGGATAGAGATTACTTTGTAACTTAGTTTGTGACTTCTACTTTAATTTTTTTTCAGCCCTTGCAATCTAGCTGTATCTTTTAGGCACAACTCTTACGTTGTGTGTTATTTTCTCATCATAAGAACAGACTGGATGTTGCTTTTTGTCAAATCAAGCGTTGTTCAGGTTTGTGGTTCTTTTAAGATTACAGCTGTGAGGAAATGTCCAGGGTTTTATGGTTTAACACCCACTTTTTAAAGCTTTTATATGATCTGTGATGCTCCCAAGTGTCTATACAAGGAGTCTGCAGAATTGAAGACCTCCCTAAATCAAGATCTCTCTGTGTGACATTGGGTGTGTGATAGCATTTCTGTTGTTTTGTTTGATTTGTCAATCTAGTATTTTTCCAGCGAAAAATAAATTCTTTATAGTCTTTGCTGAGCGGAAATCCACTTCAGCTTAACGAGTTACACAATTGTATTGAGAGGTTGGTGAAAAATGTTTTCAATGTCATGTGGGAGCACCTAGAAGAGGATCTGATGATTTCTTTCTCTCTCTTGCTTTTTTTTTTTTTTTTTTTAAACCAGGAATGTTGTGGAAACACAGGAACATTATAAGAGCAGGTGGCGATCCATCTGGATCATGTACCTGACAATGTTTCTCAGTAGTGTAGGTGAGTAAATACATGTGGAATTCAATGTTACTTGTTCAATTAATATACTTCAGTTTGAAAATGACAGGGCTTTCTAAATTCCATCTACAGAGCTTCTTTAATGCTACTGTACTAACCTCAAAAGAGCTGCATTGTTTGATTATTCAAAAGAGAATGTATGAATCTAGCAAATCAAACAGAAAGGTACATCTGATGAGATAAGTAATAAAACCAGCTTGACACGAAATTATGTATTATATATGTCTGTGGACTATGACTGCCTAATAGTTTGGTAGTGGCAAAAGGTAGAGGCAAGGTAAGGGTGTTGCTCAGAATCAAACAAAGCAAAGGTTGCACTTTTATCATCCAGAGTGAAACTTCTAGGGAATGAAAATGGAAATAATGTGGAGTTTTTAAGAGATAAGATCTTCCTGGGAATATATGATATTCCAAAATATCTATCAAAATTTGTTTTTTTCCTTCTGGACTTTACACCTTCATTGCAGGACAAATTGAAATTTTATTCCTAGGTAACTTCCCCCAGAATGCTGTTGATCTTTGATCTGTGATGATTTTCTGTGGGCCTAGATATTATCTGGAAGTTGATAGGATACTTCAATAACTCTTTTTTTTTTTTCATCAATTAAAATCTCTTTAACCAATGAATACAGATATGTCAGTGTATCATTATTTTGGTTTTTTTACTTTGGGGACCTTGTTGTCTTTCCATTGGGAGGACAACATAGGAGGTTTTTTCTTTAGTATGTATGCACCTACAAAAATGATTTTTTAAAAATAGTTCCTCCCCGTAGGAGGAATTACCACTCCTTAGAACAGCAGAAAATGCATGGGTTTATACTGTAATACATTTAGAGGCAGAAGAATGAACTTGTAATAACTGTTTTAGGAAAGAAAAGTACTGATAAAAATGGCAACTAAAATAACTTCAGTTTTTACTGTGTTACAGGTTTCTCAATTGTAATTATGTCTGTGTGGCCGTATCTCCAAAAGGTTTGTAAATATGTTTGTTTTTTTTAATAATTAAGAACAGAACACTCCTGCTCAGAAAATAGGTAATAGAAAACCTGACATTTGATTTAGGAAAAGTAGAGGAAGGTGTGTGGCTTTAAGAGACTTTTATTCTGCCATCCACTTAGACAGCTTTTATTATTTCTGTCAGATTTTTTCCTGAATTGATAAAGGTACATCATAATCCAGAAATGTTTGGTTTTCCAATATCATGATTTCTTGGACAGCAAATCAATAGAAGTCTTGTTATTGAAACATAGGAGACATGACTTGTCTACATTTAAAAAAAAAAAAAAAAAGGAAACTGGAGGTAGAAGTTGCTCTGTAAATGTCACGTTGTTGCACATAGATCTTGATATTCCAAACAGGGATTGCCCTTGTTCCTGTGTAGTGATTTTAGTTTCTTTGGTTGTTTTCACCTCTTAGTTTCAATCTTAAAAGCAGCATAAAAGTCTAAAACTTCAGTTTAAACTGTGCTAGGATTTTAGTGTCCCTGAAACTGCAGAAGGCGGTTTCAAATGCAAATTTGGAAGAATATAACCTGGGCAAGGACCTAGAGGTGTCATTGAAGTGAGGCTGATGCTGAGTTCTTGCAGAAGACAAGAAAATGCATTTCCAGCCTTGTAAATCAGGACAGATTCAGGCATGTACTGAAACAATGGAAGTGACTCCTTGGTCCTGGCATGGAAAGTGCCTGCCATGCTGCTGAAGTTCTGTCTCTAGCCCAGAACATCAGCAGTGCTGTACAAAAACTCATGGAGTTTGGTGCAAGTGAGGCATTCCCAAGCTTGGAAGCAAAGCAGATTGTATTGGTTTGGTGCATTTCTGGAGAGAGTGAGCCAAGGTTTAGTACCCCAGACAAAGCATTACAGTACAGAGTCCTTGGTGTCCCAGGTACTAATTCTGAAAGTGTGTTACTGGTAATACAAAACACTCCAGTGCTTTACCCACAGAACTGTGTTCCTGCAGATTGATCCGACAGCAGATGCGAGTTTCTTGGGCTGGATTATCGCTTCATACAGCATTGGCCAAATGGTTGCCTCTCCCCTCTTTGGCTTGTGGTCCAACTACAGGCCCAGGAGAGAACCTCTGGTCATTTCCACTGCTATTTCAGTAGCTGCGAATTGTCTCTATGCCTACGTCCACGTGCCCCATTCCCACAACAAATACTACATGCTGACTGCCCGTGCTCTCGTGGGGTTTGGAGCAGGTAAACACAGCAGGATTTGCATTTCTGGAAATGATTACATTCTGTGTCTCATGTAAGAGGGTTAACGTTGTGTTTTAATACCAGATTTACCATTATGTGAATGAATTCTGTAACTGAATATGTAACAAAGCAAAGGGTGGACCCGTAGTGGTTTGTAACAAAATTGTGTAATCGTGCTGTTGTGTAAAAATATTGAAGGGAGTGCTGGCTTTTATTATCTTGCAAAATAAGAAACAAACCCCTAAAATAAATGTTACTCAACAGTTTAACAATATGAACTTGATACTTACATGAACACTTGGCTTGGTCTGTGGTTTTTTTGAAGGAAATGTGGCTGTAGTTCGATCGTATATTGCGGGTGCCACTTCTCTGACGGAAAGAACGAGTGCCATGGCCAATACCAGTGCCTGCCAAGCAGTTGGCTTCATATTAGGGCCAGGTAAAGCAAAATCTTTCCTCACTTCTCTTACTAGGTTGAAATTGGGCATTAGAAGTAGGAATCCTCAGCGGCTGTATGCAGGGGATTTTAAGGCATAGTTTGTCAATGATATCACAATTGTATAAATTGAGTCCACTCACCTATACTTCTGTAAGCCAATATAAATGGAACATTCTTGTCCAATTGCTCTGCACCAATTTAAAATTTAATTTCAGCCCCCCACTACATCTTTTCTCTCTAGTTTGCCCTGAGCACAGGGATAATCCAGTCCCAGGATCAAGGTTTTCTATATAGGAGCAAGAGTCAAAAAGAGTAAATCTGTCTGCCAAGAAAATTAACCATTGGTGCTCTCAAAATTCTGTTCTATAAGTGTCATGATGTTGTTTATACTGTTTATTTTATGCAGTCAAGTACTTTCCTGGCTAACTGAGATCCCACTGTTATCCATTTGTTTATTTAGAGTAGAATTCTCAAAATGTAAAAGGTATAGTACTTAAATTTTACTTGGCAATTAGAACAACCTTTCTTATGTTTTCTTAATGATTCTCAAGATTTTCACAGTACATTGATGTTTTTAAGTTTTTCAGACGTGTTTTACACTTATTGGAGAAGAAGGAGTAACATGGAAATTCCTTTGTCTTCAGCTGAACATGTACACGGCACCAGTTTTATTTGGAGCTCTCTTAGGGGTTATTAATATTATTCTCATCTTTGCCATATTCAGGTAATCAAGTGAAAAAAACCTTATAAATATTCTACCTTGTTTTTGTGGGTGACTTGTAGCAAATAATATGCTGCTCAGGAGGAGGAGTAATAAACCTGTAAATAAATCTGGAGTGCTAAAACTATAAGTTGTTATTTATTTTTTCAGTGTTTCTGCCTTCTTTAATACCTGTATATTTCTGATGCTAAATGAATCTTGGTGATGTTATCGTTAGAATGTAAACTGATTAAAAAAAGTTAAAGATACTAGACAATTAGGCTTGATGTACTTTTAGTGTCAGTAGTTGCTACCCATGTTTTTTCTCTAAGGAGAAATAAGGTTAGCTCATCTGTAGGGATCTCACTGTCTATGTCTTCCCTTTGAGATTCTCAGGGGGGATTTTTATTCATTATCCCATTGGTGCAGATGCATATGGATATATTATATTCTCCCACTAGAATGTTTCCTTTCTTGAATAGGTTGATGATCTCTGCAGTCAGGTGTCAGCTTTGTAGATGAAGTTTAATGGAGCTGCAAATGATTATCATATAGATTATGCCATTTACAATTATTTTAATAGGCACTTTACTCAATAGTAGATCAAATAAAAATGTGTATTAATGAAAAAAGTTCTAAATTTCTAGGGAGCATCGAGTGGATGACATGGGACGGCAGTACAAAAGTATCAATTCTGATGGAGAAGGTACCAGTGTTTCCTTGAAAATTTATTCTTTGATTATAATTTTGAAGTACTCTCTTATTACATACAAGCATTTAGAAGTATTCTAAAGTCTGATGCACTGGGAAGTTGGTGTGGAAAACAGGCTACATCCCTCCCTAGCTGGTCCAGGAATTGCTTCATTTGTCGTGTTGTGTCCAAAGTGCTGTCTGGTAGCAAAGAAGGGAAAGAAAAAATAAATCGTATGGATCCTTCCATATTTTCACCCTGAGAATTCTTCTGTGTAGTTTTGGCCTTTGGAAAGAATGTTTTGGTTTCCATTGTTCAGATATTTCAAGAAGTTTGCTTATTTTGCTGTCACTCAGGACTCATTGGGAAAACAGACCGTGTAACAAGGTTTGAAATAATTTTCTTTAATTGTCAGTGGAATTGAAATTTCAACAACTCCATTTTGATGTAAAAACTTTATACTTTGACTGTCAAAGTATAACTGCCTAGCTGTCCACCAACTTGCATGCTAAATACTTAAAAGAATAAAGGAATCATTGCTGTTTGTAATTTGTGATGGTGTAACAAAAAGCTCAGTTTGCAGTTCAGGTGATTCTTTTGTATTGCTGCAGGAAGTGATGTTCTGGACCAGAACACAGAAGGAAGCATTGACCATGTTGCTGTGGTAGCACTCAACATTCTCTTCTTTGTCATCCTATTTGTGTTTGCTGTCTTTGAAACGTAAGTTTGTCTATTTTCTCTCAAAATATTCAGACATGGAGAGTAATTAGGCTGGGGGTGCATGTAGAGTCTTTTCTGTTCCACTCACCTTCCCAACTTCCCAAGCAGAAGTCCAAAACCATAGGCAATCAAGTTGATGTGTATTGATACAGAGTAATGATTTAAATAACTCAGTAATAACTAAAGATACATACAATTTGTGGTATAGAAAACATTAATGTAAAATCTTTTGAATGGAGGCAAACCCATATCTTCAACTTTTTAAATATTAAAAAAAAAAAAAAGAAAAAGCTTAACTTGGGCTGCCTAAAATTTTCAGAGAAAACATGTTTTCAGTTGAGTATTTTGTTCTATAGTTTTTGCCTTGGTTTTGTGTGATCTCTTAGTATGATTCTGATTATCTCCATAAGCTTAAGTGCATCTCTTAGTTCAGTAATGATTAAAATGTATTTGATAGATTTAATGCAGTTGTATTCTGAAATACACTGTTTTATATGACTGGGTTTTTTTCAGCTTAAAGAGGTATGTTATTTACTCACAAATTTTCTGTGTGTAAGAAAAAAAGCAAAATATAACATTATCTCAGGCTCAGCTGTACTTCTTTTTTTAACTTGGAAAATACTTTGAGGATACAAGATTCATTCTGCAAGTTGCTGAGCTCTAATGTAGTTAAAATTTGTTTTACAATATGGCTCTGTCAAAAGTTGCAGTATTTTTATAAAACTGAGGTTTTAGAGACTGGTTGGTTGCTAAAACTTATACAGTATCAAAAGTTTATTATTTTTGCTCTCACAGGGTCTGATTTGTTTTCTGTCTCTATTTTCTATTCTGTTCTATTTTCTGTCTCCGGGCTTGGTTTTCACTCCATCATCTTTCCATGAACTATCAGAAATAGATTATATATCTATTTATATCTAAGCATATCAGAATGCTTCAGAGTATGGCTGGTGTAGTGCATTGATGTTTGGGATGATACATGTATGGACACTATGTATGGAAGAAGCTTTTTATGATTAATATATTTTTGTTCTGTCATTTCAGTATAGCTACTCCACTGACGATGGATATGTATTCCTGGACCAGGAAAGAAGCTGTTTTTTATAATGGAATAATCCTTAGCGTGATTGGCATTGAATCAGTTGTTGTTTTCATGGTGGTTAAAATACTATCTAAAAAGTAAGTTTTGGGGATTTTGTTACTTATGTTGGCTAAACATGAAAAGCTTTATGGCAAGGCCAACTCTAACTCAAGTATTTTACTTGGTGATGAGTCTAGGTTTACTATGACAACAAAATACTTCCAATTTTGGCACAGCCTTGATGTTGTGATTCTTCTTTATTCTGTTAACATAACCCTCTTACTTGACTGTCTTTTACTCTTGAATCACAAGAAAAGCTGGTTTGAAGTTACTGTGATTTTGTAACTTGCAGGTATTTTGGTCAGATAGCATTTCCACAGACTAATGGGCTATGTCATTAGCAGTTACCTAAATTTCACATTAATTAAATGATACATTTAACTAAAATGTCATTATTTGCTAGGACTGGTGAGCGTGCCATTCTCCATGCAGGCTTATTGATTGTCTTGGTTGGATTCTTTATTTTACTGCCTTGGGGGAAGAAACTACCAAATATCCAGTGGCAAGGTATAGTTCAAGTCTTATTAGACCACTTTTGTAGTGCTCTCTTGAAAGCCTTTTATTGCACTTTTGTTCTTAATGATACAAATAACTTATTTTTACAGAAATAAAGAACAGCTCCATTCCCAGAACAGCCCCCAGTGAAATGTTAGCGCCTTTCTGGAGCTTGCCAGAGCTGCAGCTGCCATGCAACCACACAGCAGAACCTGTGGGCTGCCCTGTCACACAGTCCTGGTGCCTGAACACTCCCATGATCTACCTGGCCCAGTACATCAGCTCTGATGTGCTCATAGGGTTGGGCTATCCCGTTTGCAATGTCATGTCCTACACTTTATACTCAAAAGTCCTAGGACCAAAGCCTCAGGTAAGCACCATCCTAAATGGTTTCTTTCTTTCGCTCTTCAAGACTTGCACTCTCTTTATTAGAATGAGAGGCCCTCTATCACCAGCCAAATAATTGTGTGTTTAAGCAGGGCAGAACTTTGCAGGAGCTTCAATATTTTTTAAAATCTAAGGCAAGTCTCTAGGGGACCTAGAAAGCAAGGCTTGTGCTCTTTATGCAAATCTCACAACATGAAAATTCCATGACTGTTCTGAATGTTCAGTCCATGACTGAATCCTTTTTGTAACTACCAATTACACATGTGGAGTATCAGGATGGAATAATGTCTCTTAGTAAATTTATTATATAAAGATTACAAATGCTACTAGACCCCCAGTATGGGCATTTGTTAGTAGTGAAACACTATAGCAAACTTACATTATTGCTTAACAAAAAAATTTGTTCCCCTTTTGCCCATTTTTTTCATGTTATATTTTGTTGAAAGAGACTTCATGCTTTGAGCCAGAACACGTTTTGTTAGAAAGTGGAGTACCTATGAGTGGAGACATGGAATTAAAGCTTGGAGAGGCTGAGCAGTACTCATGGAAACAAAGCAGTCAGTGTCTTAATCAGTTCAGAAAGATAAGTGGTTGTTTAAGTACTTCCAAATTGTCTAGTTAGGCTAATGGGTTGGAATTAATGGCAAGCCAAATAATGCCTGTATCACTTACATAAGCTTTTGATCTGCTGTAGGGTGTCTACATGGGATGGTTGACTGCCTCTGGAAGTGGAGCACGGATCCTTGGGCCTGTTTTTGTGAGCCAGATCTACACTCACTTGGGGCCACGGTGGGCGTTCAGCTTGATCTGTGGAGTAGTTGTGGTCTCTCTCTTACTTTTGGAGATAGTATACAAGAGACTAATTGCATTTTCTGTCAGATATGGGAGGTTGCAGGAAGAGAATTGTTAAATACATATTTAAAAAAAAAACCCGAACAGTAAAACCAAGCAGAAGTAATACTTAGTTTATTACTGATTTTGATCAAGGAGTACCTAACCACTGACCTTGTTGGCTGTGTGCTAACAACTGTACACCTGCACTTACACATTGACAAGAACACTTAACTTGGTCATACCCCAATACCTAGTAACCCCTGCTGCAGCTGGCTTTTGTGTCCTGCTTTTCTAGCAGCAGAGGAAGGAATGTGAGGGGTTAGAGCGATACAATGGCACATTTGAAGTGTGTACAGTTTCTATGATGTACTCTTGCACTGAGTGCAGCTGTGAAGGTCACAGGTTACGTGCATCCTTTCCAGGAAGTAAAAGAAATATTATCTTGATTCTGTGAATCGGGATTCATAATTGTTTTGTAACTACAAGATTAGTTGAGCTGCATGCACTTTGTATGGAGACACCACTGCCTGAGCAAACCTTCTGATGTTGGGTTTGTTGGCTTGTAAGCACCGGTTAATACAGACTATCTGTTTCTGGAACCTGTTACATCTCCTCCAGGATTCCAAATGACAGGTGACAGAAACACAGGTTAATACAGACTATCTGTTTCTGGAACCTGTTACATCTCCTCCAGGATTCCAAATGACAGGTGACAGAAACACAGAGGAAGGTAGGTGCCCTCCACACAGGTAGTTGGTGTGGGATTTGGGTCTTTAAGTTGACACAGAGCCATTGAAAATCAGTTTCAGCAGCTGTTACTTGAACTGCAGTGAACCAAATGTGCAATTTTTCCTCTACTGTTTCGCTGAATTGCCTTTTTGTAGCAAGAAAGATAAACTGCAGCGTTGAAATATGCACTGCTTTTCTTAACTACAAGAAAAAAAAAGTCCAAGCACAATAGTTTACACTTTTGTGCTTTGTGAGAATGAATGCACTGTGCAGAGCAGTGGTGGTAATTAAGTGAAAGGAGAAACTGGCTCCTGGATGTTAACTATTATCTGCAGACTTCTATTTTTTCTAATATTAGGGTACAAGAAACAGGAATTTACACTGTTTTAGTCATTCAGACTTTAAGAAGTGAGACTGTAATTTCCCTTCATAACGGGGCCTAAGCTCATCTGTACGGGTTTGTTTAGCTGTTTTAATGTTACTGGGAAAAAAACCTCTGGAGTAACTCCAGTATGAGGGTTGTGGCTGCTGTCTAATGTCTCTATTATTTGAATTTAATAAATGTAATTATGTATTCCTATGTACTCAATTGTTCAAACACTAAGAGACTACTGAATTAAAAGATGATTTTTTCAATTCTGACTGAAGGGGATACGTAAGTTTTATTCTCATGGGCTTTCCTGCTACAGAACCACAAAAGGTTGTGAAAAAGGACTTCACTTTTATCAGCTTATTCATAACAAGTGCTACTTGTATATCATTCTTGATGTTCCTACTGCTAAATTCTTTATTTGCAAGCTATTTCCTTGATTTGGACATCCAAAGTTCTGTCTTTTAAACAGCAGGTGAACAAGGAGAACTGGCTTGAAGCAGTTCAGCTGAACTATGCTTGCACAGAGCCAGCACCAGTTCCTCTGAAACTCTTCATCCTCCCCCCTCCAACACCAAAGATTTTTAAGATCTTTTCCTGCCTGATAAGGAAGTCATAGAGTATTTAAGTACAGATACAAACACCATCAGGAGTGTTAGCACAGTTGAAGCCAAATGCTTGAGAGAAAAGCTACTGTTAATGAAACTTCAGTTGCTGTAAGTATTACTCAACGAGTAAAACAAGGTAAAACCACCTAGTTATTAACTCTCTTCCTTTAACCATTACTTGAGCATGAAACAAAGAAATAGATCCAGACAATTACCACTGCATTTATTTTTTTTTGTATAACATGCTTGTGCAGGGAAGTTTTAAGCTGCTGCTACAAAACATAAAAACAGAGTTATAAAACATATACATATTTACATATATTACTTGTAAGACATAAAAATATAAGTTATTTACAAATACATGAACAGCACAGATGCATTTTCCTTGATTGTTGGCACTGAGTAAGCAGTGGAATAAGTAAAAAATACAACAGATTCAGATTGTTTCCAAAGACTTAATGCAGTCAAGAACCAAGTTCCTCAAAGTTTTGCTTGAGTGAGTTTATCCATCACTTTAATGAAAAGTATGTTTTGTATGGTACTTCACACACAATATGCTACAAATATAGAGTAACCCTTCCCTTCCTAAATTTTTAGCAGATTTTGGAAGAATCTCTGCATAAGCTGAGTAAAATCAGTCACTTTACTGGGAAGTCAGTGAGTGAGTTTATTAAGCTCTTGTGCCGTGACATCCGGTTTCCTTTAATCAGAGAGGAGCAGCTGGATTGGTAAACATTACAAGAATAGAAGACAGACAGTGCAGCTTCTCTTTGATGTATTCTGGCAACTTATCATCTTCTCCATATCTAGAATGGCAAAGCAGCATAGAAAAATTGAGATGCTTAAATAATTTGTGTTACTTCAATACAATAAGGTATATAGATATGTAAATGTAAATAGTAAATGGATAGGTATTTCAAAACACTATCCTCAACCTCCCTGTTTTTAATACTATGCATGAATAGTGGCTGTACTCTGGAGACCAAGTAGATGCATTCCCAACTTGTTTTATTCATTTGTTATCCAGAGTTCAGTCAGCTATGGGTGCTTATAAAAAAACCCTTTATTTAATAAGCTTACATAAGCTAACCAGCAGCAAAGTGATAGCAACTATAAAGTTTAAAATATACAAACCAAAATCAATAGCAGCTATGAAGTTACTTGATGTACAACAGCCTTGTACTAAGTTACTTGGATGTTTTTATGGCAGGAACAGACTCACCTGGTTGTCTGGCCATCTGGAGAAGTGTAAGTGATGGAAGAGACACCTGCTTGGGCTACCAGCTGGGATCCATCATTGAACTGAACCCATACTGCTCCACTGGTCAGCTGATGAGAGAAGTTACATTGTGGTTTGAGCATATGAAATACACAATTACAAACCTACAACCTTTCTAATAATGGAAGTTGAAAGTTTTCCAAAACTGCTGAAGGGACTTAGGTATTTTGGTCAGTCTTAAAGACAAAGATTGCATGGATATTACTTTGGAGAAATATTACTTAGTTTCATGCTGACTTCCTCAGGATGCTTGGCTTTAGTTATCCTTGCCAATGCCAGATAAAGGGAATTACCTTTAGTTTAACCACTTCTAAAGAAATTTTATGAAGGGCCAAACACTAAAAGGAGGCCCATTTGTGAGAGTTCAAGCTATACACAATTTAAAGTTTATATATATCAAGAGAACTTTTCCTGTTAGGACAGGAAGCTTAATTATCTGGATTGCAAAGAATGTTTCAAACCTAAAGCATATCCAACAGAAAAGCAGAGGGAAAATGGCTTTGCAAGGAAACAGATTTTCCTGTTGTAGAGGAAGATGCTTTCTCTTGTACAGATCTGCTACATATCTATTAAAAACTTTGTCATGACACCTTTGCATCTATATTAATGAAAAGAGAAGTTAAACAGTTTCAATTTTTTACTAGTCAAATGACAAAGGACACTGAAATAGACAATAATATCCACAAGAAAACTGTGGTAACTGAGATACTGAAGTATTATTTTGGTTTCTTCTAGTTACATAAGAACCATGGTTTTTATCTAAGATACTTTAAAGTATCTTTCCACATACAAATTTTAGACAAACTAGTGAACAACTGAATGATTCCTCACAAATCCAATTTAAAGTTAATGTAAAGGTAATGACTTTGATGTGAAAGTACACATCTCAAATTAGTAGGAAAAATGAATGGACATGCCCCCTTGATTAATTTCTCACCTGAGAAGCCCAACCAACATTTTTCACAAAAACAGATTTGACAAGTTGGGCTGAATTTGGACTGCATTCCGTTAGATGAACAGAGGAGCACGTCTTTTCAACAGTGTTAGTCAGAAACGTAGGCTTTTCATAAGACACCACCTAAAACCCAGAGATGCACAGAATTAACAGCCTTGGCATTAATCCTCCTGATGTAGTGGTCAATTGCCATCTGTTCATGTATACAGGCAGGGTTAGCCTCTATGCTTCATTTAACAGCATTACAGTGTAAAAACCCCACAGGGACACAACTTTGTTATCAGTTCAGTCAGGTAGAAATGGTCAGATTCTGTACTAGGGACACAAACTACACAGAGAGATGCAGATCCAACAAATGTAGATTGATGTATATTCAATGAAGCTCACAATACAAACTCAGTGTGCCAAGACCCCAGTAGGATTCAGTCAGGTGAGGCAGTTATATCAGGAACCAAAGCTTGGTGGGCCTTTTAAACCAGATGAAATTGCTCACAAAGCCTTATTGGCTACATGTATATCTTCACTTACCCTTTCTTTATATGCACATTAACACTTGATAACAACATCAATTGCCACTACCCTTTGTGACACCATTTGTTATACAGCACCAGGGCACATCAGGGCTCTCAAACTGAAGACTGTGCTAACACAAGTAAGCAGTTTTCAAACTCTGTTCCTAGGAGTCACCTGTGGTAAAGTTTTGGAGAGTTCTGATTTTTCAGGTGCTCTTAAATCCAAATATCAAAAGTTAGTTAAAATCAAAGTTAACATTTCTAGTCAGTATCCTCACAAATAGCTAATAAAAGCCTATGCCCATACAAATGTAATTCCAATAATTCAAGTAAAACAGCAATATGGGAGACTGGAATCCATGGTACATCCTTGTGTACGTACAGGAGCACAGTTTGGAGTCTGAACTGGAGTAGAACTGGCAGCTTTATTTCGATCCAATGCCACAACTTCTTTTGGGTAGTTTGTCTTGTCCAACAGTGGAGGTGCTACAGCCTGTGGTGATTCACTATTACCAGGTCTTCTGGAAAAATGAGAAAAACAGGGAAAAGGTCTGTCCAAAAGGGATTAAAAAAGCAAGGGAGGAGATGTAGCTCTTCCTTCATTTTACCATGGACCGTCCAAAGCACCTAAGGGCAGGAGTCTTCTGTATAACGGTTTTTCAGTTGAAATATATAAGTATTCAATAAATATTCAATAAATACATAAATGTTCAAATATACCAGTATTTTGAACTGAAAGATATTACCTTCCAACAATTATTGGAAAAAATGGAGCACTGCCACTCCTTTTCTCTTCTTCCAAAACGGCACATTCCAGTGCAAGGCATATACGATGTCCCTGAAATGAGGAGTTTATTAGTATTAATTTGAGAATTGTATAACTATTTCATACACATTTAGTGCAGCAAATTTGTGAGCCCACACAAGGAAATTTCAGTGGTGCTGAATTTTTCAAGCTGTATAAAGTAGCTTCATCTGCTGTGTTTAATTATTTCACCAGACACACAGACCTGCTTTACACACTAGTAAGAATTTCCTCTTACTATGCATGAATAGTAAGCAATTAGTCTTGCTTCTGAGGGATTGTGACCATAACCTCTACCCTGATATTTGCCCTTCAAAAAAAACACCATCCTCCCTCCTTAATAGTGCAATGAAAAACATGGAAAGCAACAGGAAGCACATTTGTGAAAGGGAAGGTGAATTTTCAGGAAGTTGTTTTGCACTGGAAAAGGTCTATGTAAAACACCTTACCTCATTTGCATGATCCATATAAACCTGGATTTCCTTCTTCAACCCTGCTTCACTTTCTCCTTTCAAAGTGAAGGATTTCCCTGACTTTTCAATCACACGAGTTACACCACCTGTCTTATGGATCTTTGCTCCTGCAAGAAAACGTGAACACTTTCAGTGTGAGCTGTATAAAATAACAATTAACCATGGAAGGCTTGAAGAAGGGTCATGCCACTTACTAAGTTAACTATCAAAAGTAGATGTAAAGAAGAGCTCACGAATAAAAAACCAAAGTATAATTTAAATAACACTTTTGCAACATTTACTTCCTGAAAAAGATAGCAGTAAGGAATTAATCTACAAGTGCTAGAATAAAGGCAGAGTGCCCAATAAAAATGCTTATAGTGCACTATTTTCTTCAAACTGGAGTGGTGGTTGTTTAGTGTTAGGCAATATTTTAGTGCAGCCCTAAAATCATGATTTACCTATTTGCATAACTGCTAAAGTGAATACATACCATCATAAAAACAAATTTCAACATCTGCAGGGGGTGAATTTTCCATCAACATGCACTTGGCATATCTTGTATAAAACGTCACTTTGGGGGTTTTTGTTCTCACCAACTGCACAAACTTAGCTGCATATTGGTATTTTTTCCAGTACTTTTCTAAAAAAGAAAATTCAAAAAAATTTAGATATTAGCAGATTAAACATTGTGCACCAGCTTAAAGAGTAGTAATTTAAATTCTGTATTTGACAGCTTAAGGTTGTGAGTAATATTTAAGTACTCCATAAGTATGTTTAAAGAAACTAACTTATTTCCATCAACAGCTCCCAGTATGAGTGAGGAAAAGATTACAAGAGCTTTAATTTTGGTAC